GCAAACAGTGTACACGGCGACCGTAGAAGCTGGGGCAGCTCGTTGATGTGGATGAGAAACAGAGTGGGTCCCAGTACCGTACCTTGAGGTACACCACTGGTCGAGGGATGATACCAGACCGCAGAGCACGGAATTTGAATCCAGAACACTACTACCAAGGCGATGGACTGATAGGCGTAGAACCCCTTCCAGGAGGCTTCAAGTCAATTCCAGGCTAGCATCATACACCGCATCAACCGTTTCAGGAGGGGTGGTATCCAGGTAAAGGTAAAAACATAAAGACAAACCATTATTTTGGAAATTAATCGATTATCTTTGATTTGCCTTGCTTTTGAAGATTCCAGAACCTTCCATTCCTTCACGTGATCGCTAGCATACGGGGTTTTGACAGGGAGGCTACTAATTTTATCACTTGACCTTCGTTTTCTAGAAGCCGAAGGTCATTGAGCCCCCTATATATTTGGCGTAGGTCTGGCGTAGTGGTACAGCGTTTTGGCAACATTTTTGGCTACGTTGGTAGCGTGGTCAAGGTCGTTGGACCTTTGATATTTTTCGGTTGGGCTAGAATTTTTGAGTGTTTAATTCGGCATAGCGATGAAAAGTGAAGATCCAACAGTATCGAAGTACGCTGACATGCTGGCTGAGTAAGCGCTCACTAAATGCCATTGAAGGTCATTGGTCTCATGTTCACCGGACCTTACTAGCAGCAAGCAAATCCTCATGAGGTAAGCATTATCGCCAACATAGACATTGGGTCTCTTCGCTGTCACTGTAGCTTATCGATGCTCGCAGCCACATTCCGACCGGAAGCTTACACAATGCAACTCGCAAAGACTGGGCAAAAGTCCGTGCTAGCCTGAAGAGAGACCGCGAATCCTGGAAATGGCCGCTGCCCTTGGTAACCATTGTAAGTTACTTTATCTGATACGGAAAACATGCAACTGGATACCTGATGTTAGTGCAACTATACGCGACGAGAGTGGACAGCCTATCCACAACTTGTCGAAACGCTTGGAGCGTTGGGCTGAGCATTTTGAAAGGCAATGAAATCAGTCGAAAAATGTCAGATTTCTCGCCGGTTTACTGTTCCCTGGGCTGTACCTTTGGGTCCGATATACATTTCAACTAGGTCTCTTTTCAAACTGGATAAATTTCATTCCACTTCATTTGATTTGTTCTGCCTACCTGAATAATCTATTAAATTTCCACGTTGCTTACGGTAATTGTGCTTATCTTCGTTAACCTTATTGCGTTTGTAGCATTTTATGAGTCACTTCTGGACACTTTTTACTTATCGCGGATTCGTTGCTAACCAACATACTTCATATGCTAATTTAGGGAAGAGTTATGTCTGCATAGCCGTATTCTTTAACAGATATATTTTATTTGTTACTGTCATTTCAAGTGATTGGCTGTTGTTTGACATCCCCGGTGCGGCTGCGCTTGATGTGCATGTTGACAAGGTGTCTACCTGTCTATTACCCACTACCTCGTCCATACTGTCTCTAGGAGATAGTTGGTCGTTGCTGGAGGGGACGGGGTGCACGGTGCTTGTGGTCTTGTCAGGTTCGAAGAGTGGTTCCATGCACTCAGTGTGGAGCGGACTACGGTTTAGCCACCGCCTTGTGTGCGCTTGATTCCCAAATACAGCGTGCTTGTGTGTGCCTGTGAAGGAGTGTGCGCCGGCTCCATTGATGAAACGTGCCTCCCATCCGCATGTCACCGTCTTATTCCTTCGGGTTTACACTGGATATGGGGTATATGGTTGGAGGTTTGGGTGGTGCATCGCAAGCCACCCATGGTCCCTCTGTAGGTGCACGCGTACTATGGCTGGCCACAGTGACAGGCAAATTCGAAACAGAATGCCGCCATCCATATACCTTTGGATCCGCCGTCTCGCCCAGAAGTTGAACATTAGTTCGGACTACTGAAGTTGAATAAAGCCGCGGGACCAGATGATCTTCCTCCAGCCCTTTTCAAATTTGGGGGATCTGCTCTCGTGGGTGATTTACACGAGTCAATAGTGAAACTGTGGGAGCAGGAAACTGTCCTAACCGACTGGAGGTGCTCCATCATAGTCCCAATCTTTAAAGAGAGCTCCCGTTCGGTATGCAGTAACCATAGAGGAATCAGTTTGATCTCCATCGCCTCCAGATTGCTTACCTCTGCCATCCTTCACAGACTGACGAGCACTCTTGCAAGCTAGGTTCGTGAAGAGCGAGTCGGGTTTCGTCAAAACCGGGGCTGCATCGATCACATATTTAATTTGCGGCAGTTGTTGGAGCACCGTCATATGTATTGGCGGCCCGCCGTTGTCTTGTTTTTCGACATGAAAGGTGCCTTCGATTCAGTTGATCGATGTGTCTTTTGGGACTGTCTCCTAAGGAAAGGTGTGCTCGAGAAATATGTGATTATTATCCGAGCGCTTTACGCACTTCGGTCTGGCAGGGTGAGGACTTAAGACAAGCTGTCGTCGCCCTTTAATATCTCCAGCGGTGTGAGAGAAGGATGCACGCTGTCTCCTTTCCTCTTCAACTTCGCTATTGACGGAGTCATGGAGTTCTCGTTCACAGGACGCGACTTAAATGGTGTGAGGCTGCTTCTAGGAGAAAGACCTCTTAACTTGGAGTATGCTGACGATATTGCCCTCATCTGTGACAGCCACAAACCTGCTAAACTGAACTAGCCAGATTAGCATTAGCTGTCAGCCATTTCTCGCTCTACTTTGCACCCTCGAAGTGCGAAGCTTTCGTCCAAGATTCGCAGGGATCGCCTCCTGCGCTGACCCTTGATGGGGATCAGTTAGAAGTCGTTCAAAAATTCAACTACCTGGGAAGTTGTATCAGCGCTCTTGGGATCGCAGATGAGATCATGAGCCACAGCGAAAGCTTGAGGCGCTTTTGCTAACCTTCACCACCTATGGCGGCGGCTTGACATCACTCTCCCTTAAGAGTAGAGTGTACAATGCACCCGTACCTTCGACCTTACTGTACGGCTGTGAGACCTGGCCCCTTAGATCGGCCGACATAAAGAGGCAATTTGCGTTCGACTACTGGTGCTTTCGCAGTTTGGCTCACATCTGGTGGGAACACCGCATGAGCAACGAGCGTGTTTGACGCCTTGTTCACGCCACAAGAAAAGGAAGTGAACCGCTTGGCACCGTTATTTCACGTACCAGAATCCGATAGCTCGGTCACGTGTTACGCATGCCAGCCCACCGACTTCCGCGATGTGCGTTGTTTGCGCGCCGGGGGTGTGGGTGGAAGAAGAGGAGAGGTAACCAAGCAATAATTTGGTCGGGAGGAATGTAGGCCCTTAGTTTCACGTTGGGCTCGGTTGGAACGTCTCGGCTCCATAGTTGGGGTCCGCGAGACGATGAACACCTTTAGCTGGATACACTTGCTGAAATGACTAGCAGCTGACCTCAGTGGCGTTCGTGCTCTGAGTTTATTAGTCCCTGAGACGCTGCCGCTCATCATCATCAATACCCGTTAGCTGAGGATGAAACACACCTTAGTTATTGTGCCTCAATACAAAAGGGTAAGCTATTAAACTAATCTGAACCAACTGAAAATAACAATACTAAAACCACATTATGCACTGGGTTGAGGTCCTTGTTAGAAAGGGAACCTAAAGAGAAGGGATGGACGAAGAGACTCAGCACAAACGCCATTAAGATCGGCTCCTCGCCATGTCAGCTAGTGTGTTCAACTAAACGTGTTCATCGTCCTTCGGACTCCAGCCCGGCAGTCGGGAAACACCAACCGACGCCAAGTCCTAAACGAAGGACTTTATTCCTCTTGACCGAGTCATCGCTTGGCTGCTATTTGTCCGCAACGGCTTATTCATCTTGCTTGCAAAGTAAACGGTACTTATTCGCAGTTGCCTCTACCAGGAAGGTATTCCCCAGTCCGCAACCCGGGGACGCGCCAGATGGCGTACAGCTCCGCCATGCGATGTTATGTTTAGTGTCGCGTGTTTTTGTATTACGCCGCAATAGTTGAGGTGTCTCACCTTTAGCTAACGTGTATATCTATAGTGACGATTAGTGCACTTGTGTCAACAGTTGGCTCTACTTTCGGTCATTATAATTTCATCGGTTTGGCAGTGCGTCCGTCATTGTAAATAAGATTTTGAATGGATCTGTCTGTTTTTTAGCTGACAGTTGCTTTGTTCTTTCCTACGCATGGTGGTGTAACATGTGCGCTCGAATAACGCACTACCAACCAAGGGATTGGTTTGCTTCTTGCTACATTTTAAGGATATTTCATTATATTTGCAGTGCGTTCTTGCTCTCAGCCTTTGCTTAAACGGTCCTCGATTTTTCTGTATTTTTAATTTAGGGGATGCACCTCACTACGTGGTCAATCTTAACGGTAAGTTCTTAGTCTTTTGTTCATCTGGTACCTCAGCCTTCAACTCAGATGACCCAGCTACTAGCAATTCTGCACTGGACAGTCTGGCTACCTTGCCGGTCGGCGGCCCCCTGCCATCTATCAGTACTCCCGGCACTATTTCACATGATGGAACGTCGTCCCCGTCAACTTCGATTCCTGCGACACAACCTTACCTCAGACCAATGGGAAGAAGCCGAGGTCGAGGAAGAACACGTTTCAACCCGGTTCCTCTTGACGATGTGTAAGAACTTCCTCATTTCATTTTGATTGAGATATCACTGACCAACGGGAATGGTTATTTGTAGTGTTCGGTGCTTGTCGATACGCCTTCCTCTAAAGTCCATTCAAACTGTTCGCCACTAAGGTCGGCTTTTTGCCATGTCAGCTAGTGTATTCAACTAAACGTGTTCATCGTCCTTCGGACCCCAGCCCGGCAGTCGAGGAACACCAACCGACGCCAAGTCCGAAATGAAAGACTTCTATTGATTTAACGAAATGCATCCAACTGCGCCACCACTCATGCTTAGGAAGCTTCCTGTTCTCAGTCGTATCCAAAGGACTAATTTAACTGCTTGCTTGTATTTTATCTGGGATTTAAAAACGTGATCTCTTCCGTCTGTGCCGCTACAAATATACAGTCACAAAGCAGAACATCATGCCTGATTCGGCAGAACAGCTCTATCTTCATTCTCATGCCACTTTAGAGCCGGTAGACTTATTTACAGCGCTCCAGAATACATTGCTCTTGCAGGTCGTAACTCCTGCATGTGCAATGCAGAGGTGTTTTTGATTTCTTTCTTAATCGACCTTAATTTTTGGGACGTTGTAAAGATTCTTGCGTTAGCCTGATCGGATGACAAGTGGGTGCGGCGGTATCTCTCCATTCTCTTAGATTATTTTCAAGAGGACGATCTTAGCCTTAGCCCTGAATAACAATCTTTCCACATTTTTCTACCCCATGTTTATTGGTAATGATCCTATTGTTTCGGTTGTTGCTTTTGCCTACAATTTCAGTAGGATGTCATCGATGCGCGGGTTCTGTATTGATTGTTATATGACACGATTCCTGATGTGGCCTCTTCCCGTTATAGCATGGAAAAGAAAATCATGACATTTGAAGGGAGGGACTGTGTGCAACATTTAGAAGAACTTCAGAAACTTTTCCCGCGCTTTAAGCGGGCTCATATCAATCGTGTTTTCACTCGGAACATGCTGAACTTTGACAAAACGTTTCAGCAGCTTAATGAACAAAACAATAAGGAAATAGCCAAAGTTGCAAGCGTTCGTTTGGTCCAGGCGAACAAACCGGATACAAAACGTCGTGAGTTGTTCTAAGTTTCTCGCCACACATCTCGCAATTAAAGATCAAAGACAAGCTAACTGCTTCCCAAATCAGTTGTCCCCCATATGTGCATTCTAGTTGGTTAGAACGGCTGTAGCACTTCAAATATGTAACTGTTTATCTATGTCTTTTGCGGAACCCCTGTATTCACCGTACTTGGTTTTACTTGTAAATTACTACTGACACTTAACGCTAGCCTCGCTACTGTAAGAAACCGGGTCTCATATTTTTGCAACCGTAAATTTGTTGGCGATGCCATATTCAATCTTGTCGGTTGTCCTTGCTCTGGGCATCTGGGTGAAAAGCACCCAATTGCTTTGACCATCGTTGCCATTATGATACGTAGCGGCGATATGAATAATTTGAGGGGAGCGCAAGTAGGTTATTCACTGAAACAAGGCCATATTTATTGTATTGGATGATTATCAGTGATAGTACGAATGCAGTCGCGCGGTCTGTTTCGCAGCCACTTATGTGACTGATTCTGAGGTCCTCGTATGTGAAGACGTTGTACACCACCCAGGCTAGCTTGTAGAGTTGTATTCTTTCTAAAATTGTTTATGCTTTACTGTTTTGCTACCCTTTGATGGAGTTCCATCATTTGAAATACTGTGCTCGTCACTCCAGCGGATGCTTAACCGGCCAACAGCCGCCCTCACAGCTGTGACTTATGGTGGGTTGTCTTGGCCCGCAGTGCTCTCATAGTTTAGCTGATTGTTTGTGTTTGTGGATTTATCTGCCGTCTAACTGCCCAGAGTGCAGGAGCATAAGTGGCTCTGTTCCGGTGCTACCTGGTCACCGACCGACTCTGGTTGTGCCTGCTTTCTAGCTCCTCAAGAGTCAGGCTCAGTTTTATTGTGGACTAGCGCGGACCACTGCGCTTGCAGGGGCGCATTTACGAGTCGGCCGGTGTTCTACAAGCTTTAACCATCACAAACAACGGTATCCATAGCCCATTGGTCAATTCACTTGCTTTTGTGGCCGTATCGCCTAACCTCGAGTCCCATCTGGCCATTCCAAACCTATTCACATACAGAGACGGCTATATATCGACTTATCAGTCAGTGGCACAATGTGTAACCTTCATTATGATCAGCGATGATGTACAGCTCAGTGTTATGGTCACTGCGCATCGAAGATACTAAGGTACTTGCTTTTGACAACTTGTGTCTACGATTCATTGTTCCTATCTGCTGGATGCATTGAACTAATGATGTTCATTAGTTGGTGCTTTGCAGCAACTCTCCTGCCTCATTTGCCTGTCTGCTGAAGATCCGCCTTCACCGGTTCGGTTACGTTGTTCACATGCTCGTTTGTCGCCACCTACGCTGCTACTTACTATGCAACATTTCCTAATGTCCAGCCTACCATATCCGGTGCACTTATTCTCTTTCACTCCCTAACCTGTTTGATCTGTGAAGTTCTAGAGTTTCTGGTTTGTTTTCGTCATCGGTCACGTCGGTGGTGTCCTTTCCCATACGTACCGATGTAATGGTCATTATACGATTCCTATCTCAACTATACACCGATTTGATAGGTTTTCAAACGTATCACGAATAACCACAAAAATTCCCACATTTTTATTTTTTTTACTTTTTCTTTTTTAGCGGGTCCGAAGGGGAAGTCTGATATAACTCCACTCAACCCGCAAAGTTTTTTGTACTTGGACGTTCCCCTCGGCCGATGTCCACCACATATTGCCAGCACCCTTTACCGAAGGGTCATTGTTAATCCTGACGGTTCAGTAGAGTCAGCAGATGAACACGAAAACCGCTATCTTGATATGAATGGTATTAAGGTTAAGCGGCCGCTTCTTCCGCCGGTTCTTCCGCCCCCGCCCAGACCTACCCAAGACGTAAGTTGTATTACTCACGCATTGGGTAAGCTTTTCCTTTCATATAGCATAGCTATTTGATGTTCATCAAGCTGTTTCATGGTTCCTTTCGAATTATCTGTCGAACTACGGAATATTCGGCAATTCCTTGGGAAACCCATTCTGACGAATCAGCAGTCAGTCGGTTGTAGAGTTGCTCCAACTGGGGGCGGAGTGGTTCAGGCGTTCGGGCTGTTGTCCGCTGGTCACTAACTCGGACATGCATAAGTGCAGGCTGTCTTAATATCCCAGGTCACTTGCGTTCCCTGGTAGTTGCGTGGGATCTAAGTGTCGGTATGAGTTTCCGGCGTATTGAGAATATCTATCGGACTTGTAACGGTAGAATTAGACACAGTTCTTCGTATTGCTTAACTGGCAATCCACCACACATTGTCTCATCTCCGCAGGCCTCTGTCTACAACCAACAATGCAACTCGTGAATCTGCTTGGTTTCATACTGTGGTAACAAGCAC